GTGGGCCTGCCCGTTGCCGCTCCCCTCGGTGTCCTGAGCCAGCCCATCACGGCGTGTCCGCCCGCCCGCCAGACCGCCCAACGGGGAGCATCGCTCATTATGACTGCGGCCGCCTTGCAGATGTTACTGCTGTTAGTAATTCAGGAAGCCCTGCCTTGCCGGGGTCATTAGTTGCGTATATTATGCTGAGTTTCAGAATAATTAGTTTATAGGAAACAAGGAAAAAGAGCTGACGGGAGGAAATGTGACTGGTCAAGATGAAAGTCAAACAGCTGAATCAATGGCATCAACCCCGAAACAAATTGTACCAAGTCCGTTTCTTCTAATCTTCTCAAGTACTAAAACTTACTGACCTGGAAAGGAATCCTTCTGTAGGGGCTCAGCATCTCTGAAACCTGATGTGTAATCTCTCACTGGCTCCATGTAAAAAGAATGAGAGATGTATTTCCTGTTTCTAGAGTTTTCTTTTATATGCTAAATTCTTGCACGCTTATATGCCAAGTTCTTAGATCTTTATTTATTTTTATATTGCAGTTTTATTAGTTCAGGCATTGTCATGACTGATAAGCAGCTGTTAGTGCCAGTAAGGGTCCATTGATTATTTTTATATTATTATTTGGAAGAAAAACAGAATGGGAAAAAGCAGAAGATGATGATAGCAGGTGGTACTGATGTGAATAAAGGTTTGCTTGTGAGGTACACATAAATTAGGACTATTTTCTTCAGGAAAAGATTTCAGAATAACAGCTTGGAAATAAAGGAAGTAATTTCAACACTTGACTCAGACAGTCATTACATATTCCTACAATTACTCTATTTCATACAGAATAATTGCAACAATGACTAACAGTTAAAACACAGCCTAACCTGAGGTCCTTTCGTCACCCTGAAGTACCAGTTTGAGCCAACATTTTGCAGTTCCAGGCCACCCTTCATTTGCCTTCTCCCCTGTTCCCTCCTTTATTTGGACTCTTAAATAAAAGTCATTTTCAGACACATCTTCAATTTTTCTCACACCCTGAACCAGGGACCAGGTTTCTCCTAGGTTTAGAATAAGTTCTGTGGTGTAGTTTCTGGAAAAGATACTGGTGATTGTATGTTAATTTCCACTGAACCTCTAGATCCCCAGAAATATTTTTTTCTATATCCAGAATTACAAACTCGTAAAACAACTAGGGTATTCTGAGGAACTGTCTTAAGCTACCCTTACTGGTAGACAAATTTTAGGTAGTAATCACTAAAGAGAAGTGTGTAAGATTGTTGTTGTTTTAATCAAGTGCACTTACTCTTGCTAAAGTTTAGATCAAGACTGATGAAAAAAAAAATAGGTTTTTATATGTCTGACATTTAAAAATCTAAGTGCTTTTCTTACAAAAGGCCCTGAAATAGAAACACCTATTATTTTGTGTGGTGTAAAATGTTCCTTCCAGTTATGGAGACATCAGTAACCCTGGAGTATAACATTTAAGAGTTAAACAGGTTCCTCACGCAGTAACACCCACATGGAGAAAGTTCCAGGAGCTTAAGTCATTAAATTAATCCTGTCACATCAGCTTTGTGGGAGGAGAGATCTTGTACCTTGTGGAAAAGGACATTTGAGGCCACATCAGACAAGCTGATGGGACCCAGAGGGGCCTGAGGGACACCTTGGTGCCCTGCATTGTTTCTGGAAGTTGGCTGCCCAGCAACTACTTCTTGGCTTCAGGGTGTGAGTTGATGCAGGTAGACTGCTTGTCCCCTAAGTATCTTGCAAGCATTTTAGGGTTTAATTTCTCTATTTTATTGTATTTTTTAATAAAGGAATCTTTCTCTGACCATCTTTTCTTTTTTTTCCAGCTGACCTCTTTATAAGCACCTGGAAAAAAAACAGGTTCCTCAAAGAGCTACAGATTCTGCTTAGACAGAGCAGCAGCTTTCAAAACATGAGGAAGGGGGAAAATCAAGCATAAGATGTTAAGATGTATGTGGGGGTCAGTTGGAGCATGAAAACCTCAAAAAAAAAAAAATCCTATCCAGCCTTTTTATCTCTTCTTTGAAGATGAGAGAGGAGTGGGACTGGACAGTTTTGCTGGGAGTTTGGGAACAATTATTACTGCTGAGACAGGTATAAATTATTACAGACCAGGATCTTCAGTGTGGACTTTAGGGGCAGATGCTCGGGAAAGCAAGGGAACAGGAGCATGCA